GATAACATTGCAAAACGATTGAATTTTCTAGAAGGAATAAAGATTAAGTGTAATATTGATAGATCTAATCAAAACTGTGAAGTTCGCACTCAAGTGCAATTTGTTCAGAGTAGAAGCAAAGAGCCGATGCCAGAGCCACAGCAGCACTAGAGTTGGTGTACACTGATCTAGAAGGTCCCACAGAATCACAAGCTAGAGCAGGTTTTGAATATGCCACAGCATTCACTGATGATTACTCTGGCGCAGTGTTTGTGCCCCTTCTTGGTCCCTCACTCTGCCTGTGCCATTCTCCTGTCCGCTGCTCGCACCCATACGGCCAACTCGCGCTTGCAGGACTTCTCGCGGGCGGCTCCCATTCTATGGAATAGTCTGCCTACCCCCATCAGACTCTCCCCTAGTCTTCAATCATTTAAGTCACAGGGGTTCTCAACGTTAGTCCTCAGGACCCCCTACCAGTCCAGGATTTAGGGATTACCTGGGTGTGTCTAAGGTGTTTAGAAAAAGAAAAAAAAAACACCTTCGAGTCTAAGGTGTTTTTTTTCCCTTTTTCTAAACACCTGAGACACACCCAGGTAATCCCCAAATCCTGGACTGGTAGGAGGTCCTGAGGACAGGGTTGAGAACCCCTGATTTAAGAAGTGCCTTAAACCCATCTCTTTAGGAAAGCTTATGGCCTCCCAGAGTAACCTCTACCTTACATACCTGTCTCTTGCTCTCTCCTAAATGGCAGTACTATACTCTCTCCTCCAGCTTGGTGAATTGAATGAATTTCAAATGATGGGAAAGAGAGGGAAGGGGGGATGGGCAGAGTTTTAAAGGAGCAGTGGGGTGAAAGGAGAAAACCTACACCGCCACCTTTACTCTCTGCTTGTCTTGGATTGTGGGTAAAGTGAAGACCACCAAAAGATAGTGAGGCAGGAATAGCAGTATCAGAGGGAGAGAGCCATGTTTCTGTTAGTGCAAGTAGGTTTAGGGTGTGTGAGATAAATAGGTCATGGATGGAAGTAGATTTAAGGGTGCTGCACACAGAGCGTGCATTCCAGAAGGCAGCTTTAAAGGAGGAATTATATTGAGAATTACATGGGTGGCTTAGTAGTGGAGGGACCAGGGTTTGGAGCGACATCACCAGCTGCTAGGAGCAGTAGGATGGAAAGGAAGAGAAGGTGGGAGTAAGATTTAAATGTTGGGGACGAGAGTTTTTGCATTTAGAGGATTTAGAAGGGGTTAGTGGAGAAAGACTGGATAAATGAGTAAAGTGCAAGTGATGAATGCAGAGAGGGAGCAATGAAGATGGTGTCAACAGGAACAGGTAGGTAAAACGATAGAGATATTTTAATGAGGGAAGTGAGCGAGAAAGTGAAAAATAGAAGTAAGAACATTAGTAGGAGGATAGGTGCTGTGTTTTTAAGAGCGGTGTGAATTGTAGGTGTGGTTAGGAGGATTAAGGGTTAAAGAGATATTGTGTGAGTTTAGCTATTTTAGGTGTGGTGGGCTTGGTGGACATGATTGGTTTGTCAGGAAAGCTTGGTAATTTGGGCTATCTATAAATGTAATGAGTACCATGGGGAGGGTGGGTGGGAAATGACCATCCAGAAATGCTACCTCTGCTTAGGGCAAGTCCTACAGGGTTTGGTGCTGTGAGTCCTGGGTGTAACTGTTTCAATATTGTATGGGGCCCAGGCTATAAAGGAGAGAATCTAGGGTTAGATAAGACAGATTGTGGGTGGAGAATCATTGAGGTGTTAAAACAAAATCAAGGAAAGAGCAGATGAAAGGGAATTTAAATTTAAGGATATGAGGGAATGGCAGAGATCAGATAGGTAAGTCATAAATAGGGAACATCATAAGTTAATGAGGATTAGAGTGCAATTACTAACACTAGCAAAACAAACATTTAACTAAACAAGAGTTAAGGATGGAGGGTGCAATAGTCATCAATTAAGCAGTAATACTGTGGGGGCCTTCCTGGTATAGCACACCACTTGTGGGAACAAGTGGCCGGGCAGATGGCGCTTCTGAGGGAACAACCCCTCACGGAGCAGGTAAGGCACTTTGAGTCTCTAGTAGAGAGGGAATTGATCCTGGACAACTCATACCGGGTGCTATGGTGGTGCACAGTCCAGCAAGAGACTTGGATGGCAGAGGGTGTTCAGCCAGAAGTGTTGGGAGAATCTTGGCTTACTTTGCTCCAGGAAGGAGCGGTTCCAGGACCCCAGTTAAGCCAGGCCACTGTGGGCAGAAGTGCTGCAGTTTGTCCCCTGTTCCAGCTAAGAAGAGGTCCTTTGCGGAGGTACCCAGCCAGGGGTACAGGGAGCTCTGTTACATGTATAATAACTATATAGTGTGTGTGTGTGTATATTTGTAGTCGGGGACCAAAGCCATATCTATGATAAGTTAGATATATGAGCAAGTCGGTTGTGGTGTGCCGAAACCGACGTATCGGGTAGGCCTGTAATAAAAGAGGGGCGATCTGTAATAGTAATATGTATAATTGGAGAGGTGGGAGGGATGAACCCGGCAGCATCAGCCCTGTGGTGTAGGGGGCCTGAGTTTAAATAGCCGGGTAACACCTCCCACAACTTCAGGTGCCGCCCTTCAATTTGTAGTCGGGGACCAAAGCCATATCTATGATAAGTTGGATATATGAGCAAGTCGGTGGTGGTGTGCCGAAACCGACATATTGGGTAGGCCTGTAATAAAAGAGGGCAAAAACTGAATAAAATAACCTTATTACATATCTCTACGTAGCAAGATTCATAAAGGCTTGTCTACTCAACTCTAGTTCTGGTTGTGGTATGTATCTAGTAATACACTGCGGATTTCCAGCATCCTAATGTTTATGATGTGAGCAGGGACATTTGTCTAGAAGCAGCTGATGCTGCCCCGATTCTGAACGAATGTCCTAAAAAGACATTGTGGTTGAGTACCCACCTAGATAAGAGTGTTCTGAGATACATTATGAATTTAGCTGTAGTGAGTGGTTTGCCCTGCAATGTAAATAGGGGCATATTGAGGTTTAGTCCAGTGAGTGATAACCTGTACAGATCTGGCATTTTAATCGGGCACCTTATTGTCCGTAGGATAGTACCTTATCTCCGTACGTTCGTCACATGGTAAGAGGATGTGAACTGTTTGGTACTAGGATAGGCACTTAAGATATGGTGTTGTATTCCAGTCAGGTAAAGTTTTGTAGTGTTAAGAGAGAGTTTTAAATTGAGGGGGCAAAAGGGAGAGGAGTGTCACGATACGTGTCAATAATAAGTAAATAAAAATACATAAATAAATAAAAATACAATTTAAAAATAATATATATGTAAATATATATATACTGCAAGGGCTTGCACTCCTGGTTACCTTCAATAGTGCCCGGTGCTGGTCTGGCAAATCATATAGATACCGTAAAAAAAACAAAAAACACTCCAGTGACTTTGTTGAAAGTTGAAATAAGACTTAACTTTTATTTCATCCATTAAAATGATGTCATTTTGGACACAGTTTGGCCCAGGGGTCTGAACGAGAAATATACAATGTCTATATTTTTTGAATCACGCAAGGATTCTTTGTTTGAATTACATTAACTATTCTTATTTAAACCTATTGCCTCACTTATTTTATTTACATCTTAGGGATGCTATGCTGAATATCTAATGTCATTATATCACTAGTCACCCTATAATAGGTCTCTCTGAATAATGTGCGTTGGTACAACCATATGAGTGTCCTCCCTACACCTTATCCACATTTGTGAGCGCTATTGGTTCTGCATTTATCAAAACGGATACACTTGTTCGTCTTATTGTATCCATTTCATGTAACTATTGCAAATGTTGCTTTCCCTCCATAGGATTTTGCTTAAGTCTGCTACATTTAAACAAATTACTTTGGTACATCATCAACTCGGTGTAATCCTATTTGTGATTGCCTAAATATCCTATCTAATTGTGTATATATGGGATTTCTGAGCCCCATCCTTATTTTTCTTTTTTCCTGCTAGCAGCAATTGTTTTTAACATACTCCCCTTGTTTTTTGTTTTTTTTGTATTTGGGGAGTATATATCCAGTATTCTAATTTTTTTTTTTTTTTTAATTATTACTCTACCTGAACCATGAGATATGTCTACTAAGTTGTACTAACAAATGGGAATTATCAGGACAGCCACTGAGGGCAGACCTAGTGCTGCAATGTAAACATTTAACATTGCAGCACTTAATGCAAAAGGGATACAGCGCCCAGACCACTTCAATGAGTTGAACTGGTCTGGGTGCCTACAGTGTCCCTTTATTATAACAAAGGTGAATTATGGCTGAGCAGACATATAGCGCAAATTCCTGTTTATGTGTACGTTTTGTTTTGATCACGACATGTACAACTATATATTTATCACCTATGTGTTAAATTTGTACATGTGTGTGTGTGTATATATATATACATATATATATATATATATATATATATATATATATTAGTTTTGTATATTGTATTTGTTGTAATATTGTATCCTAATACAGTCCTATAACAGTTAATGCAATGTTTTGTAGACCCAGGACATACTTGAAAACGAGAGAAATCTCAATGTATATAACCTGGTAAAATATTTTATAAATAAATAAATAACTGGCTCATTCCTTAAGGGGTTACTATCTATGGAACCCCGCAGCAAATAAAGTCTACACACCGGACAGCTGCACTCATGTGATTTGTGTCCAGATAAAAACATTTCTTGACTTGACAAATTCTAGTTTTGGTAGTAGTGCACTGCAAGTAAATGTAGAAAATGGTGAATCACTCGCCATGATTTCAAATCTAGTGTATAGTGCAGATAAGATAGTAAACTGCCATTAACACAAGTGAATATGATCGAGCTACAATCTATCACTGATTTAATCTAGTTCTGCAGGATTCCTCAGTGGTTGGTTTTTAGGACCTTGCAATAGGTAGGTTTTCAGTAATGACTAAATGTTACAATAAGGAAGAGGGGAGCGATATGTTCATTTGACGTGGCAGGACTGACTACGGACAAAACCATAAGGGAAACCATGGAATAAAGAGCAGCAACGCCAGATCCCAGGCGAAATGTGTGTCAGGATTCCATACAGAAGTCCATGGAACTAAGAGTAACAAACCCAGATCCCAGACAGACGGTGTGTCAGCATTCCAATGCGCTCCGCATGCCGGGTCTTCCAGACAGCCGAAACATGACCTAGTACAGCCGCAAACTTTTCAACAACAAGGGAGGAGAGAGGATTAACACAGACTGGGCAGGCATCGGAGACAAGGTAAGTAGTATTTCTACACAGTCTAGTTAGTCTGTTAAACGTTTTCTAAGCTGAGGAGAATTGTTTTTTAAGTGTTTATGCAGTTTACTTAGTATTAGTAACAATGCAGTTCGTGTTGCTATGTATTTATAGCCCTGCACTTTATAACAGGTGATGTAATAACATTAGTTTTCACTATCTCGCTAGACAGAGAAGAAATTCTAGTATATCTGCTCAGCACTGTGCTGCTGACTTTACACATATCTGTAAAACAAATGAAGCTATAAATGTCAGGCACATGCTTATACCAAAATAACTAGCTTATTTAACGACTTTGGCATTTTATTACACCACCAAAACAATGGATGAGTGAGGACAACTATAGAAGTCCCGACCAGGATTCCTAATTCAGAGGATTGGATTTGGTTTTGTAAACATCGGTGCCTTTTCCACTGATTATTTATTTTGCACCCTTTCCATCATTTTTTCTTGTGTGATACTTTTTGTATTCTATTTTATACCATTTTTTTTGGTTGTTGAATGCAAGACAGAATATTAGTATATTATCCAAACAGAATGTACCAACAAAGAAGGCAGGACGAACAAGGCTAGGTTTACAACATTTAAATTAATAAATTGGAACAGATTTTTGAATCCCCAAAACAGACACTCCTGAGGCAGAGAGTAACTGTCCTTTAGGTAGCTTTTAAGGTGTGATTTTGGTCAAATCTTCCAGCTTTAACCCCTTAAGGACACATGACATGTCATGATTTCCTTTTATTCCAGAAGTTTGGCCCTTAAGGGGTTAAAGAAGCACTCCAAGTACCATAAGCACGCTGTAATGGGTATGATGAGAGGAATACCCTTGCATCCTAGTTAAAACATTTGATGATGATTTCATTTCTTACCTGGGGTCTGCTGGGTTCCTGTAGCTACTTCTGGAAGTTCTCTCACTGTCCTAAGCTTGACAGTATAGAGAACTTCCGGCAGAGATAGGAACAAGTGCACAGTGGACCACGGGTAAAAAGTAAAATGTGTTACCAAAGTCTGCTGTAGTGGTTATGGTGCTTGGAGTGTTAAAGGAAACCTGCCATGCCACTTTGTGCTCTGAAGAAATTATTTTTTTTCCTTTAGGGAACGCTATAGTGTATTTATTTAACACAAACATGTATTCCTGGCACTATAGTGGTAAAATAACTATTTAGGTGTCCGCATCCCTTCTGTATAGTAAATGCTGGTCTTGCCTCACTCCACCTACATGGCTGTGATTATTATTATTATTATTATTGGTATTTATATAGAGTCAGCTTATTACACAACGCTTTACAATAAAAGGGGAATTTACTTAATGAGACAATAACAAAGTGTAACAGGAACAATAGGTAGTTTAGGACCTTCTCAAACGAGCTTACAGTCTAGAGGAGGTGGGGTATAAAAACACAATAGGAAGGGTATTGAGATAGACAGCAAATAGACATGGTGGGAAAGTAGCAGAACTGGAGGTGAGAGTGGAGTGTGGCCCTTAAGGAGAGAACAAGAGGAAGGTTTGACAGATAGAAGTTACTCTTGGAGGCCATAAGCATTCCTGAAAAGATGGGTTTCGAAGGACTTCTTAAAGTAGTGAAGACTAGGGGAGAGTCTGACAAGGGTCCAGATGTGGACCCCTTGCTCACAGTGCCTAGAGAGATATTGGCTGTACCTCACTGATGATGCCTAACAAGGTTGAAATGATCGTCTGGGTTGCTTTATCTCTCGTGCAGAGAGAGTTGGCCTGTATTTCGGATCTCTTCTACCCTTTTGGATGTAATCAGTCTGAGATGCAAATGGCCTGGTTCTCTCTGTAATGGCACAAGATGAGCTTAAACCAGCTTGAGAACTGAGCGGGGACCCACCGAAAGGCAGGCTAATTGAGCTTTTGTCCGTTCTTGGTACTCTCTTGCGACTTGTTTATTGCTCTCCTTAAGTTTAAAGGGTAATCCAGATGTGGACCCCTTGCTCACGGTGCCTAGAGAGATATTGGCTATTCCTCACTGATGATGCCTAACAAGGTTGAAACAATCGTTTGGGTTGCTTTATCTCTCGTGCAAAGAGAGCCGGCCTGTATTTCGGATCTGTTATGCCCTTTTGGGAGGAATCAGTCTGAGATGCAAATGGCTTGCTTTTCTCTGTAATTGCACACCGAAGGGCAGGCTAATTGAGCTGTTGTCCGTTCACAGCACTCTCTTGCGGCTTGTTTTTTGCTCTCCTTGGGGTAGGCAGGCTGTTCCAAAGGAAGGGAGCTGCCCGTGAGAAGTCTCGCAGGCGTGAATTTTCAGTAAGGGCGCGAGCAGCAGACAGGAGAAGGTCACCAGTAGAGCGGAGAGACCGAGAGGGGCATACCTATGAATCAATGAAGAAATGTAAGAGGGGCTAGAGTTGGTTAAGGCTTTATAGGTTAGGGTTAGTATTTTAAATTGACACCTGTTGGGTACAGGAAGCCAGTGTAAGGATTGTCAGAGGGGTGAGGTGTGAGAGGAGCGACAGGAGAGAAAGATCAGCCTGGCAGCAGCATTCATCACAGATTGTAGGGGGGCAGTACGGCTTCTGGGGAGACCAATTAGGAGATAATTACAGTAATCAATGTGAGAGATTACTAGAGCATGAACAAGCTCCTTGGCAGCATCTTGCGTAAGAAAGGGGTGTATGTGGGCAATGTCTTTAAGGTGGAATCGACAGGTTTAAGCAACAGACTGGACATGAGGCGCAAAGGTGAGGCCAGGATCAAAAATGACACCAAGACAGCGAACTTGAAAGGATGGGTTGACGCAGGTACCATCAACCTGCAGGGAGAGTGAAGGTGGATCAGTGTTATGAGGAGGGAAAAAAGTAAACCCCTATGTACAGGTTTTATGTTTTTTTTGGAAAATTAAAGGCGCACTATAGGGTCAGGAACACAAACATGTATTCCTGACCCTTTAGTGTTAAAACCACAATCTAGCCCCCACACCCACCCCTCCCTAAATATAGTAAAATCTTACTTGTATTTAAGTCTGAAGCTGCTGCCTCTGCCTGTGAACTGCCTCTGTCTGCTGACATCATCAGTAATGGTGGTCTGAGCCAATCACAAGGCTTTCACATAGGATTGGCTGAGACTGTCAAGAGGCAGATCAAGGTGCAAAGCCAGCATGATTCAAACACAGCCCTGGCCAATCAGCATCTCATCATAGAGATGAATTGAATCAATGCATCTCTATGAGGAAAGTTCAGTATCTACATGCAGAGGGTGGAGACACTGAATGGCAGTGCTACTTACTCTGCAGCACTGACCAAGGAAGCAGCTTTAGCAGCCATCTGAGGAGTGGCCAGTGGAGTTATTACTAGGCTGTAATGTAAACACTGAATTTTCTCTGAAAGACAGTGTTTACAGCAAAAAGTCTGAAGGTAATGATTCTACTCACCAGAACAGATGCAATAAGCTGTACTTGTTCTGGTAACTATAGTGTCCCTTTAAATAGGGGGCTTGCAAATTAAATTTTCTGGATTTTCTGGCTGGGTTGTCAGACATATCCCTCAAATTGTAATTCGTTTAAAAAAAAATTACATAAATATCCACGTAGAATTTTTTTTATATTTAAAGGCTACGTGTATATTTATGTAATTATAATATAATATCAAAATACAGTTAGAATGAAATTGCATATATAAATATATACTTTTTTGATTTGTTTTTTTTTTGTTTGTTTTATGTTTTTATTATTTTTATTTAGTTATTTTATTTTTGTGTGTGTGTGTGTGTGTGTGTGTGTATATATATATATATATGTGTGTACATTAATTCTAAGTGTGTTTTTATATTAATATAAAACAAAACTAAGTATGACAATATACATACATAATATGTTGTGTGATTTCTTGAATATTTTTATTTTTCAGCAGCAGAGAGACTGCCTGCCAGCCCAGGCAGTCCACTTGCAGGCATCTCCATAGATGCCTATTGCAGCCATGAGATTGCTCTGTGAGAGCGATTACATGGCCCATGGGGTCTTGATTCAGCAGAGGGGGACTGCCTGGGCTGTCAGGTAGTCCCGTGAAGTGGATCTCCGGGAAAGTAAGTACCGCCTTGCGCCTGGGGCTCTATACTGTTATGCCACTCTATGCCGCCACAACAGCTTTAAAGCCCATTATAATGTTGACGGCATAGAACACCGGCGTTAAGGGGTTAAAGGAACACTATACAAACATGTATTCCAAAAACCCACTTTAAACCCTTGGCCCTCCTTGGCTCTTAGAAAGTTAAGTAATTTACCTTATTTACAGCTGGCTCAGCCCACGCTTCACTTCTATGGCATTAATGTTGATGATCTCAACCAATCCAATGCCTTAGAGGCTATTGCACATGAGTGGCAAAACTCTGTGCTGCGCCAATCAGTATCTCCTCACAGAGATGCATTTACATCTCTCTATTATTTACTTCATCTGTCAATAGTTTTAATGTTGTGGCTGATCGGTGTACATGTTTCTATATTGTGCAGTTTTCAGAATATGTTGATATTCAAAATCCATATATGAATAATGCATTTATAATCCATGCCAAAACAACTCACCTAAAGTAACTTTCTTTTTGTTGTTAAAGGATACCTGTAATGTTTAGTGGGAATGTATTCTTCAGACATTTTATCTATACATTGTGCTAGCGAAGTCACTAGCAAATGTATAGATTATGTCTAATGTTTAATTAAAAAATATGCTTCTTCTACCTCCCTGGCAGACAGGAATATACCTTTTCAAGCCATATTATGAATGGGGAGTTACTGATTGGTTTAGATTGTCAGCTGACCATTCTAACCCAATCAATGGCGCCATTGCGAGGCTTTCGTTCTGAAGATTTTGACAAAGCGGATGTAGAGGGGTCCAGAGAGAAACAGCATAGAGGGGTTACAGCATTTACGTATGGTTTACCCCTTATCATAAGCCAGCACCTGGAACTTCCTGACACCAAGTTGCTATGGTGAATAAACTCTTCCTTTTAGTTGAAAAATAGGCAACAGGTTCACTTTAATATTTTTTATTGTAAATATTATGTGAGGATGTATTTTTTTTATTTTTTTATTATTTATTTATTTATTTCCGTTCTTCTTCGTATTTGTTGATCTGCATATGCTATCTAACTGTAGGTGACATCTTCAAGCAATGAACATGAAACTTAATGAAAAAAGTATGGTACATTTTGCCACCTCTGACTCTCCAGCAGACTACACAGGATACCTCAACAAAAGAGGTTCACAGAATTCAGGCTACAAGAAAAGGTGGTTTGTTTTAAAGGGGAATCTACTATTTTATTTTGAGGATCGGGATTGCAGGGAACCTGTGGGCGTAGTCGTGCTTGAAGGGTGTACTGTGGAACTCTGCCAGTCCAGTGAAGAGTATGCATTTGCAATATCATTTAATGGAGCAGGATGTCATCCTTATATCTTAGCAGCAGAAACTCAAGATGAAATGGAGGGTTGGGTGAAAGCCTTGTCTAGAGCTAGTTTTGACTATATGAGACTTGTTGTGAAGGAGCTTGAAATGCAGCTAGAACTGATGCAAAAAAGCCATACACGTAAAAAGCATAGCCGGTACCGAGGTAAGGCCCGCACTGTTGCCCGTACAAAATGGGAAAATTCTTCACAGATGTGCAACCTCAATGGCTTTGTGAATTCAGAAGACTCCAATATGGCATCGCATACCAGTCAGAAGGCTCCGGCATGGCAATACAACCAGATTATTCCACCACCTTTACCCCCTCGTAGACGTGGTGCTCAGTGGGTTGATGCTGTAACACCAACTTCCTCTGTTAAATTATTGGAAAGCCCAGTGTGTCCTGGAACTGTCTGTTTCCACAAACTGCATGAGTGGTATGGAAGAGAAATTGAAGAGATACGAAGAATTTGGCAGAATGAACAGAGAAGCCAACATGAATCCGCATAGGCAAAAACGTTTATATATTTGGCTGTACAAGCCTTGTGTTAGAACTGATTTTATAAGTCGTATGCATATTTAAAGGACTTGGATTTTGCTGTAAGTGCAAACATTTTGTATACTTTTTCTTCTTTTTTTTTAAAAAAAATGTCATCATTATTAACATTCTGAAAGGGATTATGAAAAATCCAGTCTCCTTTTACATATAAATATATATTGCCTTTCATAAGTACTCTTTTCCCTCTTTTGAAGTGTTACAACCCAATAGCTAACTAAACATAGTACTTGCTTGCGCAGTACTATTCAACCTAAGAAACTCCCATAGTATTTACTGGGGTAATAGAATGGGGAACAGTCACATGCAGAGAGAACGAAAAAAAATAATTCGTAGAACTGCCTATGGCTGCATTTTTTTTGTTAATTTTTCCAATTGTCTAACATTTTATTTAAACCAGGGATAGTCAACTTGGTCTCTACCGCTCACTGGTGGGCGGTTTGGGATTTCAGGTGGGCAGTGGTGAGTTCTAAAGAAAACGCAGAGTGGGCCTCGAAGGCCGTGGACCAAGGCTGGCAGGGGAGAACCTTTCATCTCCCCTGCCGGCCCATGCAGAGCCAGCCATGGTGTAAGCCCTCTCAGGCTGGTGAGGAGATCAAAGATCCACTTAGTTCCAGCAGAGGGAGCAGGGCCGCCATCAGGGCATGACAACCGCAACGGTTGTCATGGGCTGGGTGGTCCTGGGGAGCCCGGACTGCTCAGGTCATCCGGGCCCCACATTCAGGGGGGAGAGGGAGGGAAGGGAGGAAATTTGAGGGAGTGAGGGGGGGAGAGGGAGG